TTCTGTTCAGCTCTTTAGTATCTTGAATTCTTCCTTGTGCATGGCTTCTCTATGCTCCAGTGCAATCTTCACATCCATTTTGGTCTTTTCTTCCTCTTCTGTCTTTGTAATGACCATTTGCACTCTTCCTAGATGATACATTTGACATCCTTCCACAGCTCATCTGGTCTTCACTCATTAGTGTTCAAGACCTCAAACCTGTTCCTGAGATGATTCTGAAATTCAGGTTGGATGAAATCGAAGTCATATTTTGGTTCCTGTGTATTTGCTTTAATTTTCCTCGGTTTCAACTGGAACTTGCATATGAGTAGTTGGTGGTCTGTTCCACAATCAGTTCCGGGTCTAGTTTTCACAGCTGATATTGAGCTTCTCCAGCAGTTTTTTCCACAGATGTAATCGATCTGATTCCTATGCATACCATCAGGTGAAATCCATGTGTATGACCTGCGTTTATGATTCTTATAAAATGCATTTGCAATGAGTAAGTCATTGATTGTACAAAATCCAATCAATCATTCTATCTCCAGCTTAATTTCTGTCACCAAGCCCATATTTTCCCACTACTGATTCTTATTCTCTGTTCTCAACTTTTTCGTTCCAGTCACTCATCATTATCAATGCATCTTGATTGCATGTCCGATCTATCTCCGACTGTAAGAGTTCGTAGAAATCATCTATTTCTTCTTCTTTGGCTCTGGTTGTTGGTGCATATATCTGAATGATAGTGGTATTGTGTGATGTATAGTCTCAAAAATCCAATACGAGTCAACTAGAAGTCATTTCAGACTCCACAAAAATAAAAGCGTGAGAGAGACATTGACTAGATTGTCCTCTAAGACCATAGCCCTAAACAATGAAACTAGAGCTAATATAAGGAGTTTATTTATTACATCTAATTAATATTAGCATCTCTAAACCCCTTCTATGAATTCCGTAACACTTGATTGTGCTTATGTGAAACCTATACTTGGACCTGGAGGTAATCATCAGAACAGAGCAAGGAAACATTGCATGGTACAAAATTGCGAAGGGTGTATAGCCAGGGATGTGTCCTATCTTCATACTTTTTAATCTATATGCAGAACAGATAATCCAGAAACTAGGCTCTATGAGGAAAAATGTAGAGGAAAACTCATCAACCTTCAACGTTATACAGATAACACAACCTTGTTTGCGGAAACCGAGGAGGACCTTAAGAGCTTGATGCAGAAGGTCAAGAACTCAACATCAGGAAAACAAAAGATTCTTACCACTGGGCCAATTGGCAGCATCATGATAGATGATGAAGAGATTGAGATTATTAACAGCTTTAGTTTGCTTTGCTCCACAGTGAACACTTTTGGTACCAGCAGCCAGCAAATTAAAAAATGAATTGCATATTGAGAGAGTCTGCTGTCAGAGACTTCTCCAAAGGACTGAAGAACAATGATGTCAGTTTGCAAACTAAGTTGTGTCTGACCGAGGCCACAGTCTTTGCAATTACTTGCTGTTCATCAGAAACCTGGACAATGACTAGGGATGATAGAAGGAGAATTGATGCCTTTGAGCTGTGGTTCTGGAAAAGAGTGCCTGCTAGAACAAACACGTTCGTCCTAGAGAGGTTGAAACCAGCCTGCTCCTTGAAGGCAAGGATTCTGAAGCTTCATCTGACATACTTTGGCCATCTTGTAAGGGTGACCAGTCCTTGGAGAGGGACATCATGCTTGATAGGGTGGGGGGACAGGGCAAGAGAGGAAGACCCTCTATGAAATGGATTGATTCAGTGACTAGGGTAATGGCGGTAGGTATGTCAGAGACAATATGATAGACACAGCATAGAACAGGATTTAGGGCTGTTGTAAATAGGATCTCTATGATTCACAGGTGACTCAATGGCATATAACAATAAGAGTCTTGTTGATTTTTGCTTTCTTAGAGATTATTTTGAGTCCTCACTGTGGAGCTTGAGCTAGTGCCATCTTCTCTTGGGAAACAAGCCTCAGTCCTAGTTGATATTTTAAGTCTTACGTTAATTATATTAATAATGATTTCCTTGTCTAATTTATAGAGTTTTATTTCCTTGCCATAAAAAAAAAATCTCTCCAGAAGGTATATTTTGACAAAGTCCTATCGGTGCTGAGAGCTCTGGTGGCATAGTCTGCATAGTTGCTCTGCTAACCCAAAGGTTGTATGTGTCTGGTGGTTTTGAATCCACTAGCTCCTCTGCAAAAGAAAGATGGAAAGACTTCTCCCAGGTAGTGTACTGCCTTGGAAATGTGATGGGGGGTGGGGGTGAGCTATGAGTCAGAACTGACTCCACAGCAGTGAGTAGTTATTATCACTTTGTCATCGGCAAATTAATGATAGATTGATAAAGTAACTCTTACTGGTACAATTATTGATAATCATTGGAAGTGTTAGAGCAGAATTTTAATAACTACTGACTTGTTATATTGAAGCAATCCAGGCATACAGAAGGATGTTGGATTACATGTCATTTGAAATTCTTTCTACCTCTAAGTTTATTGAGCCTAGCAAACTGAAGCTGTTAACAGTCTCAATCTCTTCACTGTCTATCATGATGTTTCCAGTTGTCGCAGTGGTGAGAATCTTTGTTTTCTTGGTGCTTAGCTTCTATCCACAGTTAAGGCTGCAGTCCTTGACCTTCTGCAGCAGGCACTTCAGGTCCTTGACCTTCTGCAGCAAGCACTTCAGATTCTCCTCAGTTTCAGCAAGGTTGTGCCCTCTGCGTAATGCAGGTTGATGAGTTCTTTTTCCACTTTTGATGCCACATTTCTCCTCATAGAGCCCAGCCTCCCAGATAATCTGTTCCACATATAGATTGAAAAGGTATGGAGATAGGACACATCCCTGGCCTTTACACTCCTGATTTTAAACAATGTGATGTTTCTTTGCTTTGTTCTGATGACTATCTCCTGGTCCAAGTATAGGTTTCACATAAACACAATCAAGTGTTCTGATATTCCCATTCTTCTTAGAGTCAGCCACAGTTTATTGTAATCCACATAGTCAAATGCCTTTGCATAGTCAATGAAACACAGATAGACATTCCTCTGATACTCTCTGTACTAACAGCCCAGAAATTAAAAGATTAATTACATTTGGAAAGTCTACTGTCAGGGACCTCTCCAGAGTACTGACGAGCAACTATGTCAGTCTGGAGACTAAGGTTATCCTGATCCAGGTGTGTCTTCGCAATTACTCCTTATGTATCACAAAGCTGGACAATGACTAGGGATGATGGAAAGAAAATTGATTCCTTGGAGCTGTGATGCTGGAGAAGAGTACTGAATATAACATGGACTGCTAAGAGAACAAACAGGTTTGTCCTAGAGAGGGTGAAACTAGACTGCTCCTTGGAGGCAAACATTCTGAAGCTTTGTCTCCTTTACTTTGGGCATGTTGCAAGATGGGAACAATCCTTGGAGAGGGACATCATGCTTGCGAGAGTGGATGGTCAGCACAGGCGAGGAAGACCTGGATTAATTGAGTGACCAGGGTAGTGGGGGTAGGTGAGTTAGAGATAGTAAGGTTGGAACAGGATAGAGCAGGGATTAGGGCTGTTGTACTAATGATGTCACTATGTGTCACAAGCAACCGGACAGCACATAACAGTAAAAACAACAATAACCTCTAAGATTCTATTTTGACTTTGCAGAGGTGAAATTTGTCCCAGTAAAACAGTATGAAAAATATTTTATCTTATTTTAATCATCTATGTATAAAGAGTTTGATTCTTAAGATAATGTAAAGTTATACTTTGGAAACAGGGTAACATATTACTATAATTCATGGTTGTTTTAAAGATTTATTTCATCTTGTTATACTTGAAATAATTTGCACTCTTTCATTTTAAAGAATGTGTGTGTTTTTTTTCTGCTTGCAGATTAGCAAGACATTTACAAAGAGAGGCCCAAGCTTCCCATAATAATTCTGAATTTACAGAAGAACAAAAGGTACCATAAAATAATCTTTGAATCTATCTATCAGACTTCAGATCCAAGGGATTCTGTCTTTTGAATCAGTTAAACAAAAAAAGCAAACACAAACCTACTATACTTTTCTTAAATAAAAAAAATGATGCTGATTATACTTTGCCTGAGTTTAATTTTATCATTAAGTGATCATTTGGAAGTACCATGTGATCTATCTTTTAATGAATTTCTTTACTCAGTTTTGTCTAGTACAAGACATCTAGAATTTATTTAACTTTAATAGAGGCCATTCAGACTTTGCTTAGAGAGGGAATGAGTGTTGACTTAGACAATAGAATTGTAATTACATCCCAACTCAACACTTTTTTTACCTTGAGCTTCTATACTGCTTGTCAGCTGCCTCTCATTAAAAACAAATCAAAACCAAATAAATTAGAAAACCTTACAACTGTAGAAAAAAACACCAGCTAATCCTTAGGAAAAGACATTATGCTGGGAATGGGCAATGCAAGATATGAAGACCCTTAATGATCTAGATGGATATAGTGACTAACAAGGGGCTCCAGCATGTCTGAGATCATGAGAATGGCACAAGATAGGGAGAATTTCAGTATGTTGTTCATAGGGTCGCTGTATGTTGTAGTTAATTGGATGATATCTAACAACTATAACAGCTCAAGAATTTGATACACAAATTCATTAACAAAATAAATACATGACATTACAAAATATTCCAGTGATAGCTTTTTACCTTTAATTTTTCCTTGAATATGCATGTCACATTGATTTCCTGTATTATAAGAAATTATGAAAAACTAGATATTTTATGAAACTTTCCTCTAAAAAATTGGGAAAACTGAGAGAAACAACTCCCATTTTTCTCCTAGCTTAAAGAAGAATCTAGTGTTAAGTCAAATTTTAATCTTAGCAAGTGATGACAGTGTTTCTTTGTGTTTTTGTTTTTTCTTAAATTGAGGCCAATCTTTCTCTAAATATCTATGTGGTAAGACACACCATCTCCTAAGACGATGGATAAAACAAGGGTGATCTAATTGGCTACTTTAAATTTTTCTTCTTTTAAAATAAAGGGTGAGTAGAGATGTAATTTTTGCACACATGGTCTTTGCAATCGCTTGTTATGCATCAGAGAGTTGGACAATGACTAGGGAGGACAGAAGGAGAGTGAATGCTTTTGAGCTGTGGTGCTGGAGAAGAGTACTGAATGTACCATGGACTGCCAGGAAAACAAACAGATTCATCTTGGAGAGGATTAAACCAAGCTACTCCTTGGAGGCAAGGATTCTGGGGCTTCGTCTGACATACTTTGGACATGTTGCCAGGAGGGACGGGTCCTTGGAGAGAGACATCATGCTTGGGAGGGTTGAGGGACAGCGCAGGAGGGGAAGACCCTCTATGAGATGGATTGATTCGGTGACTGGGGTAATCGGGATGGGTGTGTCAGAGGCGGTGCGGTTGGTGCAGGATAGAGCAGAGTTTAGGGCTGTTGTGCATAGGGTCGCTATGAGTCGGAAACGACTCGACGGCACATAGCAACAAAAACAACAACATAAATTTATATCCTTGGGAACCCAATGGAAGTTTATTATGAGTTGAAATCCATTTGAAAGAAGTGAATAAACGTATTTTTTTTAATCCATTGTAGGAATTTGGAGTGAAAAACACCCTATCTTTAGAGTTAGCCATACTTACTACACAAGTTAATATATTTGCATTTTTTAAGTGTTTAAAATCTACTTTATGTAATGTAGGTAAGAAGCCTTAAAATGCAGTAGGTTAAGCACTGGTCAACTATCTGAAAATTCAGTGGTTTGAATGCACCAGTCACTCCATGGGAGAAAGATTAAGCAATCTACTCCCATAAGGATTTACAACATCAAGAACTCTAGGAGGCAGTTCCAACTATGAGAATGGAATTAAATCAGTGGATTTCTTTAGGGCTTATGTAATTATTATTTTTTTCTCTCTCTCTTTCTTTTTTTTTTCAATTTTATTGGACAAAACATGTTGGAGATACACAGAAGTGAGGGTTGGAAGCAGAAGGGTGAGGATGGGCAGGGATGAAAATTGCAGGGATGCAGTTGCAATGCTGTACAATTTGGTTGGTTGCGGGGAGGAGATGAAGGAAATGAAAAGGATCCAGTGAGGACCAGATGATTCAGGGCAATGGTGATTAAACAAACTGTATTTTTCACTTGTGGATTTCTCATTTGGGAATTGGGTACAGACTCGCTGGCTTCTTCATGCTGAATCAGGGGTGTTGATGTGAAGGGGGAAAGGGAGCACACTTTATCACCTTACTGGTGGTCTTGGGTTGAAGCTGTTTGCCTTCTTGTTCTGTTAGAAGATGTTTCCCTGACATTTACTCCCCTCTGGACTGAAAAGTGTTTTCCCAGGTGAGTCCAGTGGGGATGGCTGACTGAACCCTGAGGCTCCATCCTCCTTTGCTTCCTTAACTGGCCATTGTATTTCCTTTTTGTCTCTGGAACTGGGTTCAGGGTTAGATCTGGAGTAAAATTCGGTGTTAAGATTACCTATAGAAAAGGGAGCAAATGTAGAAAGAACAAACTTGTTAGTTACAAATAGAAGGGTTTTGGGGGTGTTACTTATGGGTGTACTGGGGGAGAGGCTGGAGGAAAGTAGCCTAAATAAAATTCTCTGTATACCCTAGGCAGTTTTTTTTCTACGCAGGGGTCAGATGGTATAATCCGAGGGCTGAAGAGCTCACCTCGAGGGACAGCTTGCCCTGCTACCCAACAGGGGCCCTAACGAACCGCCAGCCCTGAGGGCTGGATGGCAACCCTCGCTGGTGGGCGACACACCCCCGGGGCTGGCTGACACCCTCCCCCACCAAACCCTCCTCCCACAAATTTCACCCCCCCATCCAGACCCAGCGCCTCACTGAATACCATGTGACCAGAGATAGCGTCCCCAATTCAGATACTGCCACCATTACTCCCCCCCAATAAGTGGTCATACTGTAATTTGAAGTAGGTGTCACTGCCCTCCCCCTTTATATGTGGAGAAGGGGACCTGAGAGTAGTGAACAGCACCCCCCCCCCCAGGTCTAAATAGTTCTAGGCAAAGGCAAACAGCAGATCAAAAGATGCAGTGCATTGAGGCTATCTGCCATCTCGGACATGCTGCCACAGTTAAATGTCCTTGAGTCGTAGACAGCTCACAGAGACTCTCATCAATCCATTGTACTGGTAATCTTCTCTGGCCTGCCCAGGGAAACCCCATCCTGCCACCCTGTCTCTCACCGCTGCCATCTTGACTCCAAGAATTCTCTACAGAACCAGTCCACTCGGCTGTGGTGTGGTGGCTCTGCTGCACCAGCCTAGGCGGGGGTGGGGTTGGGGGGTGGTACCTACTGTCCATCTCGGGTGAGGGGATCCCTGGGGTCTGGTGGTGGGAGCCTCATGGAGCTGCGGCAGCAGCGGGGACTCAGCAGCAGGGAGCTGGGAACCACGGGACTCACCCATTCCTTCCTGGGAATCCTTGAACTCCTGATTTGAGCTTCAATCTGCACCGAGGACCAGTCATCAAATGTTTAACTGTTCAATTATCAATAAACAGAGGTCTGTAGAAGGTCATGGTGGCCCTCCTCCACATGGTCAGCTGCTCCTGCAGCTCACCACGTTGTTTACGCCACTGCTGCCATCTTGGAATCTCATTATTTCTCTTTTTAAAATAACCAACTCAAAACCAAAACTTACATTGCTGTAATTAGAGTATTTTTTTTAAATTGATACTTGCTGATAAACACTATAACAGCATCATCTGTTATTTATGCTGTTACTTGATTGCTTTCCGTATTGGTGTGCATCTTGAATACTTGTGTTTCTCTGAGCATTGAGAGATCTTACTTGAGCCTTTCTGGAAATCTTCAGATTCCAGACCCAAAGACTTGCCCCTAACTTTAGGAGACTTAGAGTTTTTGCCTTTGAAAATAATGGCCAATGAGGAAATGTTTGATTTGTTTAAGGGAAGAAATAATAATTCTATAAGAAATATACCTTAAATATGGATTGAAGCTCAACCTCAAGGAAACAAAGATTCTCACCACTGGGCCTATTGGCAGTATCATGATAGATAGTGAAAAGATTGAGATTGTTAACAGCTTTAGTGTGCTTGGCTCCACAATCATAGTATCAGCAGCCAGGAAATTAAAAGATGAATTGTATTGGGAAAGTCTGCTCTTAGAGACCTCTCTAAAGCATGAAGAGCAATGATGTCAGTCTGGAGGCTAAGGTGCACCTGGTCCAGGCCATAGTCTTTGCAATTACTTGTTATGCATGAGAAAGCTGGATAATGACTAGAGATGATAGAAGAAGAATTGATGCCTTTGAGCTGTGGTGCTGGAGTATTGAATATGCCGTGGACTGCTTGGAGAACAAACAGGTTCATCCTAGAAAGGGTGAGACCAGGGTGCTCCTTGAAGGCAAAGATTCTGAAGCTTCGTCTGATGTACTTTAGACATGTTACAAGGAGAAGCCAGTCCTCGGAGAGGACATCATGCTTGGACAGGGCAAGAGAGGAAGACCCTCGATGAGATGGATTGATTCAGTAACTGGGGTAATGGGGGTGAGTGTGTCAGAGACACTAAGATTGGCACAGGATAGAGCAGGGTTTAGGGCCGTTGTACATAGGGTCGCTATGAGTCGCAGACTATTCATGAGCACATAACAACAACAACAAGTATACCACCTCTCTTAGGCTGGGTTCTCTACAGAAGTAAAACCAGTGAATTTTCTATGTTCTGGTTGGTAGGTGCTATCAAGTGAACTATAACTCATAGTCACCCTAAAAAACAAACAGGCCTGAATCTTACCCTGTTCTGTACCATACTTATGATCTCTGATATGCTCCATCTTATTAATAAAATCACTGTATCTCATTTCCTTGTTCTGTTGGACAATAGTTTCTTGTTGTAGGTATGGGTTTCTTAGGATAATTGAATGTTCTGAAATTCTCATTCTTCTCAGTGTTAACCATAATTT